TATCACTCACATTTCCGCCCCTACCCACTTCCCAATCAAACTCACTTCCACGAATTTTGTAATTTGGTAGAAACAAATAGAATCTACACTCATAGGTCTTGACCTTGTGGGTTTTATCACTGGTTCCACTCCCGCTTCGGCTTAATTATCCGATCAAACGCAGAATGTGTTGAATCCCGCGTACAAGCTAGGTTTGGTTCAGACAAGACCAAACTGTCTTGAGTGCAGTCCTAGGCAGTCTCTCAGACACCTTACAACCAGTCATTTCATCCACGACTTCTGCATGCGACGCCTGGGCACAGCTATCCACCAGTTGTGCCGCTGCCTCTCGGGGTCGCATAGTTTCGCTTAAAACGAAGTTAGCGAAGAACCCTAAAGCCAACCGGTCCATTGACTCGTACATGAGGGATATGCGAGCTATTGCCAACGATTTGGCTCTGGCCCAAAGCCCTGTTACAGAAGAAGATCTTGTGGTTCATATATTCACGCAACTTGGCGATGAATATAACTCCATAGTTGCTGCTCTTCGCGTCAGGACGGAGGCCATCTCATACAGTGAATTGCATGATGTCCTCACTGATTACGAACGAATATTACAGGATAATGAAGCTTCCTCGACTGTTCATATGCCTACTGCGAACGCTACACAATGGAGGTCCAATGGCCCTGCTGACACTCATTCTTACAATTCCAATCGCCGTAGCATAGGTGGGTCCGTCTCCTCAAATGGGCGGCAAAACCAGGTAAGGAACAATGGCAACCGTACTGCACGATATTGCAACTATCCGGGCATGACACTAAATTCTGTCGGAAGCTTTCCAAATTCCTAAAGGACAATTATGTGACGGTGCTTGAGCCGCAGAACACTGGGCGTCAATCTCCTACCATCCACTCGACGTCTACTACTACGCAGCCCACTCAACCGTGGCTCACGGACTCGGGCGCCTCACATCACACTGTGAATGACGCCATGGCTTTGCACACGTTAGCTGACTACACAGGGCCTGACGAGATAATCCTTGGTGATGGTAAGTCGCTTCGTATTTCACATACTGGGTCGGTTTCATTACCTCCAAATTCTCGGTCTATTAGTTTGTCAGATGTGTTGTGTGTTCCAAGTCTTCAAAAGAATCTAATTTCCGTGTCTAAACTCTATAAGACTAACTCCATTTCTGTTGATTTTTTTGACACACATTTTGTTGTCAAGGATCGACAGTCGGGAGCTCCTCTCGTGCAGGGTCCGGTCGTGAATGATGTCTACAGTCTTCCTGTTCAGCGGTCTCAAATTAATGTCACTACTATGTCTTCATTGTCAAAGTGGCATCATCAATTCGGCCACCCAAATTTTAAAGTTTTAGCCTGCATTCTTCGACATAATAATGTAAGCTTTAAGCCTGAACAACTTAAGGAATTTTAATTTCGTGTAATTCGTGCCATATCAATAAAAGTCACAAGCTGCCCTTTTCCTTTAGTACCATGTCTAGCACCCGACCGTTGCAATTAATTTACACGGATGTTTGGAGTTCTGCAACGATTTCGGTCGATGGTTTTAAATACTATATTAATTTTGTCGACCATTATACTAAATATATCTGGTTGTTTCCTTTAAAGTTTAAATCAGATGTTCATGCGGTCTTCCTTCAGTTTAAACGTATAGTTGAAATATTTTTTGACTATAAAATTGTTTCGGTATTTTCAGATAATGGGGGGAACATATTAAATTAACTCCTACGTTTAATAGTCTGGGGATTTCTCACTATACATCTCCCCCTCACACTCCAGAACATAATGGTCCCGCTGAACGCAGGCATAGGCATATTGTCGAAAGTGGTATGGCGTTATTGCATTATGCGTCTATGCCTTCCTCCTACTGGTCGTTTGCATTCCAAACGGCTGTGTATTTAATAAATCGCATGCCCACTGCTCTCCTTAATCACTTGTCACCATATGAGAAGTTATTTCATAAATACTCGAACTACCAGAAAATTCGACCGTTTTGATGCCTTTGCTACCCGTGGCTAAAACCATACTACCCAGCTAAATTGAGTCCCAAGTCTCAGCCATGTGTCTTCTTAGGCTATTCGTTAAGTCAATCTGCTTACAAATTCCTAGAAGTGTCTAGTGGTCGGATATATTTCGCGTCATGTTATATTTGTGCCAGATGAATTTCCATACACTGTGTTGGTTTGTAAAACCGTCTCCACTCCTGTTCTGTCCACTTCATCAAGTTTATTGTTGCCCAATCACGTTCAGAGTTTGCCTAGTATGAGGATTGCGTCGGACCTACCATCGACTTCCACACCACCACTGAATCAGCCAACGACTACTCTGGAGGAGTCAGCTGCTGCCTTGGAGGTCCCGGTGGCTGCCACGTCTGTCAGTCCAGAACTGCCTCACCGGCCAGAATCTCCATTGCCAACCTCGGAGTCCACCTTACCAGTTATGTCCGTTGGGGGTATCGCGCCAACTAGTTCTGGTCAAGCGCCCACTGGATCAGAATTCCCGCCGGCCGGCTCTAACTTTCTGCCGGTTGACGGTATTCCACAACAGCAGCTGTCTCATCAGGTGGGTGAGTCAGCGTCGGCAGCAGGTTCTGTAGCATCTGTAGGGTCTGTGCACGCTGAATCGGTTGTTGCTGAGCATTCTGCCGCGTTTTCTACGAAACAGGTGGTCGCTCCTTTACGGAGGTCTAACCGACAAAGACGACCGAATGTTATGTATTTTAATGATAAATTTGTAAACTTGACGACAGCCCATCCCGTTGCTTCGTCCATTGAGCCACGCACCGTGGTGGAAACGTTGAAAAATGACTTGTGGCGGGATGCGATGTCAGATGAATTTAGTGCTCTGGTGAAGAACTCCATTTGGGAGTTAGTGCCCCGGGCTAATCATAGTTTGGTTGGCTGTAAATGGGTGTTCAGGGTCAAGCAGAAGCCTGATGGCTCTGTGGACAGGTTTAAAGCCCGGCTGGTTGCCAATGGCTTTCTCCAGGAACCAGGTCACGACTACTTTGAGACCTTCATTCCAGTGGTCAAACCGGTTACCATTCGGGTTATTCTCAGTATTGCTATGTCACGAGGTAGGTCATTACGTCAGTTGGAGGTAAACAATGCCTTTTTGAATGGCACGTTACATGAAGAAGCTTATATGGCACAACCGACGGGTTTTGTTGACAAGGAGAAACCTGATCATGTCTATAGGTTGAGGAAGGCGATATATGGTTTGAAGCAAGCCCCGCGTGCTTGATAATCTATCATCACACAATAGATTAACACCCGACATGCATAACACAAGAGAACAAGGACACACCCAACGGCAACACATGCCTTTGTGACTACACACGTCACAAGAAGAGAACTCACAACAAAGGGTACACAATCCCTCGTGACATCACCCATCACGAGTTGATATGCCTTCCTTATGCCCGGTTCCAACCTTAAGGCTACCCCCGACCTTATATCTAGTTCCAACCTTTACCTCCAGGACCCCTGTACACCAAGTCAAACCTTATTCATTCGGGAACCGTCGTTCCCCCTCCAACAGTCCCTCCAACAGAACCACCGATTTCATAGTACACGAGGGTACCGATCACACACATGGCAACACATGCCACCCAAGAAATACGTGAAACTTACACAAAGGTCACAGCTCCATAATCACGTCATGGCCACCACGAGGACCACCGCAATACCTTGGTGACTAGTGACCCATACCACTAATCATGCAATCCAGGTAAAGCCACACACACATCACACCTCAACAGGAATCAATCAACGGATCACAACGAAGATACGAAACATCAAGAAGACGCTCAAATAGTTCCACAAAAGAACATCGGGAAGTCAAAAGACCAAATACCGAGTCAAAAGAATCACGGGGAACAAATGCCGAACATCCACCATGTTGATCCCCGCGGGTGGACCCCCGGGTAGGCTCCCAACCGTGATTCCACCCGCGGGTACATACCCACCGGCCATATGTTCCCCGCGGGTGGACGCCTACCCGTTGTTCCGCCCGCGGGTACATACATGTGCCCAAAATAATCCCTTCGGGGATTTTCAGCTCCAAGCTCAAATTCAAATAAAAAACATGCCAAATCTCACCAAATACAACAAAATGATTTGTATCAAAGGAATAGCCAAGCAATGACATACAAGAACCCTAAACACAAACTCTATATACGCATTTTCACAAGACAATGCATAAATACTCATATTTCATAACAAAACACATGTAGAATCCAAGAAATCATCATAGAGGTAAGCAAAATAGATTTTGTAGAGCATGGGTTACCTCTTGTAGACAAAAACCTTCACTTAACACTTCACCAAGCTCCTAAATAGGCTCACCTTCCAAACCCACTTCAAGAACACACCAAAAGATCATAAAGATTCTATCTTTAAGAAAAGACACCTAAGAAAACACTAAAAAACACAAGATGAACATAGATCTTACCCTCCTAGATGCCCAAATGTATGAAAGGTGAAATCTTGGAGACAACTCTTGAAGATTTGACAAAGCTTCAACTTGGCTTGGAAGAAAAGCTATCTACCTTTTTAGAGAGAAGGTAGAGCTTAAGTTTGGAAAGTGTAAGGAGAGAAATAAGGATTGTCTACTAGGTTAGCTTACATTACTAACACAAGGTGAAAATTCATGAATACCCTTACTAACATGAAGAGGTGTAAGGGAACAAGGGAACTCCTCTCAAAGCTCAAGGTACAACTTTGACTTTGGGGTTGACTAGTCAATTACTAGTCCCCGACTATTAAATTTTCAGGATTTTTAAGAATTAAAATACCAATTGGTTTAGGATTAATTACTTAATTAATCCCATAATTGAATTTGGATTACGGGGTGTCACATCCTCTCCCCCTTCAAAGAAGCTTCGTCCCCGAATCTTGGGTACGATGAGTTAAAACAAACGGTGAGATGGAACAACCATGTGACAAGAGTGTCAAGAACAATCTCTTTTGGTCGAAACTCAAAAGGATTCACAAGAATTAAAGTAAGGAAGAAGGTATTCTACGAACAAGAACTGGAGAAATTTTACCAACGGATATGAGCATATCAAACTCTAACCAAACACCACTACCAACTTCTAACCAACACCCAAGAACTAACAACTAACTCAAAGCACCAACCACAAAACTAACTACTCATCTAAACAAACAAGCGAGAACAAACACACAAGGCAAGCAACAAACAACTAACAAACGATAGGATAAGGTACCTGCCGAGAACAACTCTGGGTAACGCTCCCTCATGGTCGATTCCAACTCCCAAGTAGCTTCTTCTACTCCATGATGTGACCACCAAACCTTCACCATCTTCACCGACTTCCTATGCGTATCCCGGGTCTTAAAATCCAAGATTTTGAGTGGCCTTTCTTCATAAGACATATCATCGTCCAAAGGGATCACTTCCGGTGGAAGAACATGTGTCGGGTCGTGGACATACTTCTTAAGCTGAGATACGTGGAAGACATTATGGACTCGCTCCAACTCCATAGGTAGAGCCAACCGATAAGCTAGGTTCCCAACCCTCTCAAGTATCTCAAAAGGTCCTATGAATCGGGGGCTTAGCTTGCCCTTCCTTCCAAACCTCATCACTCCCCGGGTGGGCGATACTCTTAGCAAGACTTTATCCCCCTGCGAACTCTACTTGTCTTCTTGCTCGGTCGGCGTCGGAATTTTTACGATCTTGTGTCGCTTCCATCCTGCTCTGAATCTGTTTAACGTTTTCTGCAGTGTCAAGCAAGAGCTGTGGTCCTAAAACTACCGGGTTGACCTTATCCTCCCAACACAGCGGATTGCGACACTTTTGACCGTAAAGAGCTTCATACGGGGCCATACGAATACTCGAGCGATAACTGTTGTTATAGGAGAACTCTATTAAGTCCAGGTGATCCTCCCATGATCCTTGAAAATCCAGCATGCATGCCCTCAACATATCCTCGATAGTCTGAATAGTCTTCTCTGTTTGTCCATCTGTAGCCGGATGGAAGGCGGTACTGAGATTCAACTTGGTCCCTAAAGCTGCTTGCAAGGACTTCCAAAACCGTGACAAGAGCCTTGGATCCCGATCGGAGATTATATCTTTTGGCACTCCATGATTCTTCACTACCTGACTAACATAGGCTTGGGCCAACTGCGTCATTGTCCATGTTTCTTTCATCGCGATAAGGCGAGCGGTCTTGGTCAAGCGATCAACTATTACCCAGATTTTATCTTTACCGGAACAGGTTGCCGGCAAGCCTCCCACGAAGTCCATAGATATGGAGTTCCATTTTCCTTGTGGAACTTCCAATGGTTGTACCAAGCCTTTGACCCTGCAACGCTCCGCTTTCACCTTTTGACAAGTCAAGCATCTGCACACGAACTCTGCCACCTCCTTCTTCATGTTAGGCCACCAGAAAAACTTCTTCACTTCTTTATACAATTTGTCGCCTCCAGGATGTACAGAATAGGGTATATTATGACCTTCTTCCAAAATCTGACGCTTCAACCGATCACAAGATGTAGGTACACACAGACGACCCGCGTACCTCAACTCTCCGTCAGGGAACAACTCAAACGGCCCCCCTCTTCCTTTTCCCAGGTCATCTCTTACCTTCATCAAGCTAGCATCCTTCCATTGTTCCGCTTTGATCTCCTCCAAAAGCGTAGGTATGAGTCTTAGGTTGAAAAGACGGGTCTCCGACTCGACTTCACCTTGTTCCACCACTTTTAGGTTCATCCTTTGAAATTCCTTGCAAAGCTTGTCAGCCACTACCCAAATGGAACTAACGCCATGTTTGGTCTTCCTGGTCATAGCGTCCGCCACAACATTTGCCTTCCCTTCGTGATATTGTATATCCAACTCATAGTCTTTAATGAGTTCCAACTACCGTCTCTGACGCATATTGAGATCCTTCTGGGTGAAGATATAATTGAGACTCTTATAGTCCTTAAATATCTTGCAACGCACGCCATACAGATAATGCCTCCAAATCTTCAAAGCGAAAACCACGGCTGCCAACTCCAAATCGTGCGTGGGATAATTCTCTTCATGTACTCTAAGCTGTCGCGATGCATAAGCTATCACTCTCTCATTTTGCATCGACACACAACCTAGTCCCTTCTAAGATGCATCACTGTATACCTCGAACCCTTCTGTTCCGGATGGTAGGATTAGCACTGGTGCGGTCGTGAGCCTCTCTTTCAACTCCCGGAACGCTAATTCGCAAGCTTGATTCCATTGGAAGGGCATATCCTTCTTCAACAGCTTTGTCAACGGTTGAGCCACCTTAGCAAAGTCCAACACAAACCTTCGGTAATAACCTGCTAAACCCAAGAAGCTTCTTACTTCCGCCACGGTTGTCGGTACGGTCCTCCATTCTTTCACCTCCCAGATCTTATCTGGATCCACCGATATACCTCTGCTATGTAACACCCCCCAAAAACACAAGGCCCAATTGAAGCCCTAACACAAGCAAATTAACAACAAAACTAGCACAGCGGAAGATAAACGGAAACTGGATAAAAGAAATCCAAAAAGGGGTGTTATGCCACGTATACCACAATAGGTAACGCTAAGGCAACAATCTGCAAGTGTATAACACTATCCCAATACATCAATCTAAAACAGTCTAAAAACATTGGCGCACAGGCCACAAAAACACAAAGGTGCTAAGCTACCAGGCTCTAGACATCGCTCTCGTCTAAACATCACCTGAAAGATACAAAGATAAATATTGGGACGACGCCTGGTCAGCGAATAATGCTGGTAACCCACCAATACCGTTAAGTATCATAAATAGGCATATATAAGATATAAAAACCATTTTCGAAACAGAATACATATATATAAGTCAAAAGCCAAGATCACCAGTCAACACAAGACTCATCACTCTCAAGACCACACGGGAACACATCCCAAACCACAAAGGTTAACCACACACAAGGATAAAGACTCACCCAACAGCAACACATGCCAAGCCAACGCAAGCCTCCGTGACTACACACGTCACGAGAGAAGATCACACAACGCCGGCTTTACAAGCCCTCGCAACATCACCCATCGCGAGTTGGTATGCCTTCCTTATGCCCTGTTCTAACCTTATGGCTACCCCCAACCTTGTATCTTCTTTCCAACCATTACCTCCAGGATCCCCTGTACAGCCAAGTCCAACCTTATTCCGTCGGGACCGTCGTCCCCCACCTATAACCACCAACGAACCACCACCAATCACGGCAACACATGCCCGGATAACACAAGTTATCCCCCAATCACGTGGAACCATCACTCAGGCCACAACTCCATAATCACGTCACAGCCACCACGAGGACCGCTGCAATACCTTGGTGACTAGTGTCCCATACCACTAATCGTACCATCCAGGTAAAGCCACACACGCCACACCTCAACATGAATCAATAAACGGATTGCAATGAAGGTAAGAAACACACTCAATCAAGGAACGAGTCACAGCCCAATCAACAACATCGATGAATAACACAAGTTATCATCAACCAAACGGAAGGTACAGACCACACACACGCTAGGATTAAGACAACAAACTAGCGTGCTTATCAACGGGGAAACTCAAGATAGTTCCGAGGAACACACAAGACACCTCTTGGTCCAACGAAACACAATGTTAAACACTTAGCACGATTCAAGACACCAGAGTCCTACATGGATACCTACCATATAGTTCTAGACCTACGAAACATCAAGAAGACACTCAAATAGTTCCACAAAAGAACAACGGGAAGTCAAAAGATCAAATACCGAGACAACGAATCACGGGGAACAAATCCCGAACCAAACACCACCGTGTACCCGCGGGTAGTGCCTCACCCGTGGTCCCGCCCGCGGGAACACCATCCCACGAGGCCTGTACCCGCGGGAAGGCCGGCGGGTGGTGCCCCGCCCGCCGTTCCGCCCGCAGGAACATTCCTGTTCCACAATAAATCCCTTCGGGGATTTTCTTCTCCAAACATAAATTCAAGTCCAAAACATGCCAAATCTCACCAAACACAACAAAATGACTTGAACCAAGGAAAATGCCAAGCAATGGCACAAAGGAACCCTAAACACAAGCTCTAGATATGCAATATCACAAGATAAATGCATAAAACCCTCACATTTCATAGCAAAAACAAGTAGAATCCAAGAAATCACATATAGGTAAGCAAAATAGGTTTTGTAGAGCATGGGTTACCTCTTGAAGACCAAAAGACTTCTCTTTACACCACAACAAGCTCTCCACTAGGCTCACTTCTCAAACCCACTTCAAAATCAAACCAAAAGATCATAAAGATCCTACCTTTAAGAAAAAGACAACTAAGATGGAACCAAAAAGACTAGACAAGCTTAGATCTTACCCTCCTAGATGCCCAAATAGGTGAAATGTTAAATCTTGGAAGCAAAACTTGAAATCTTGACAAGGGTCTCAACTTGGCTTGGAGAATAAGGTACACTTCTATTCTAGAGAGAAGGTAGAGATATTTTTCTAGGAATTGTAAGGAATGAAATGAATAAGTCTTCTAGGTTAGGATACAATACTAACTCTTGGTGAAAAGACAAGGCTACCCTTACTAACCCTTAGAAAGTGTAAGGAACAAGGGAACTCCTCTCTAAGCACAAGGTACAACACAACTTAAAGATTGACTAGTCAAATACTAGTCCTTGAGTATTAAAAATCAGGATTTTAGGAATCAATTCATCAAAAGAATTAGAATTAATTACTCAATTAATTCATTGATTGGAGTGTGGATTTTTGGGGTGTCACATCCTCTCCCCCTTCAAAGAAGTTTCGTCCCCGAAACTTGGGTACAACGAATTAAAAGCAAATCGTAACAAGGAAACGAAATTGTGACAAGAAATTTCAAGAACAACTCTTTTGGTCAAAACTCCAAAAGTACTCACAAGGGTTCCAAAGCAAAGAAGAAGACATTACGAATTCAAGGATTGGTTAAGAGTTAAAAGAACGGATAGATTGAGCATCAAGAACTCTAACCTCAACTCAACCACCAACTTCTAGACAACAACCAAGAACTCAACAACTAACTCTAAACACCAACTAACACACTAGCTAAAAATACAAGGCAACAAGCAAAACAAGCAAGCACACAAAGCACACAACAACCTAACACCAAGCTAAAAACGGCCAAGAAAGAAACAACAAGAAAGAAGCGAACGGGGTTACCGCAACACAAACTAGAACTCTTCACTCTCTGACTCCTCGGCCTCTTCAGACTCTTCCTCGTCTTCGTCACTGTGGCTAGAACTGGCTTCAATCTGGTCCAGTCTCTGATGCACTGCGACAAACTGCGCCTTCACAAACGCAAAGCCCTCGGCGATCAAACTGTTCTGCTGACGAAGCAAAGAGACGACGTCCTGCTCTCTCTTGGTGCGAGCTTCCTTCCTTCTCCGGCTTTCCTCACTGTCTGATTCACTTACTTCAGCTTCGGCGGTCTCCGGTGCTCCTACTTCTTCTTCTTGATCCGCTTCCTCCTCAACTTCTTCGTCACCACCCAAACTCTGGACTGCGAGGCTCAACTTCCCGGCATGGATCCCAAGCTCAGCAGCTAACTCCGCCCGTTCAACAGGTGCTTTCCTT